CCCCCCCCCCCCCCCCCCCCCAGGTGGGCTGCAGCATCCTTTCTTATGTTCATCAGCACAGATCATCATGATGTTGAACTGGTCTCTTCAGCCTGTCATTCTCTTACCTCCAGATTGCCCGTTGCAGGTCACCGATCACATCAACTATAGAGCTCTTATTTTATTGGCCTTGCAGCCTGTTTGTTTAGAAGGTTTTTAAATTAGCATAACAGTAGTGTTTTTGTCAAATATGTTAATTTTATGTTTTGCTCAGGTTTGGTGTCTGCACTCTAACTCTTCTTGCCTAAAAGTGGTAACAACATAAGTGTGCAACCCATTAACTGATATTTTTCATTTTTTAGTTGAGCACAAGCAGAAAGATGATGGGGCTGCTCTTTGGGTCTTCTGTTTGTTTGGGGCTGTAGCCTCATTATTTGGCTGGAGCTCCTAAGGGTTTAAACAGATGCAGTGGTCCTCCGTGAGGTCACAGAGTTACTGCAGCTCCCTCGACCTCTACACGACCCCTTATTTGAACCTCCTAGTTGCAATCATCACTTACTGTAGTGCTGAAAGCCCTGAATAAGTTGGCTTATGTTTTTAGACATCTTATTGTGTCTATTTCCTGCTAACAACTTTTGTGTCAAAAATGACCAGCACATAACATCTGGAGGAGGAACGGGACGTCAGTGGATTGTTCCACATTGATCTGGATCAAATTCTGTGTTGTCTTCAACAGCTGACACTTCTTCATGTTTAACATTTTTCGTCTCAAGTTCGTGGCCTCTTCCTTGTTACCAGCCCCCAGGATGTGATCTCTGTTCAGCAGCAGGACATTTGTGGGTCATTGTGCTGCTACAGAATCAATTGTGAGCAACGCTCTAAAAGACATTTATCAACCAGAGATGCAAAAAAAAAAAAAAGTTCTTAATGATTTGGACAATTTAGTGATTGTGAGAAGTCCAACAGGTGAGGTTACCATGGGAGAACAGCTCTGTTAGGGACAGCTTACCAGGTAGTTGCCATGGAAACTAAACGGGAGCATATTGTGTGTGTGTTCACTCAAAAACAAATGCTCATCGGGGAATTAGGAAATAAATTGTGTCCATCTGCCAAGGGAGGCTCAAGGGAGCAAATGCCCCCATAAATCGACACCCCCTCCTCCCCTGCTTGTCATACAGTCGCATATGTGCAATTTGTCTGTTAGCAAAATATCTAATAAACCACTGTATAGGCTTAAATGAAACTCCTAGAAAGCACTCGCTGAACGTGCATCCACAGCTGATAAACTTTAGACTTTTAAGCTAATTCAAGACTAACTTTAGCCAACAAAAAATGTTTTTGACTCAGTTTTACAGATTATACACATTATTCAAGAAGTATATTCAGTTATGAACATTAATTTAAGAGAGGAGAGGGCAAGTTTCAGTGAGATGATTAGTGACTGAACTGTGCTGTTCTCAGTAACCTGAACTGTAAAGTAAAAAGCAAAGAGGCCTGTATCTGCAGCTGATTCTCTACATCACTGTGGTTCAAATGGCCTGACAACAGCATCACAAGATGTTCTGTCATTGCTTTAGTTTTGGGGTGACACCCCAAGATTAATGGTTGCTTCCATTTAGCCCCCTGTTTAAAACTTTCTGACTGTGCCCCTGCTGCTGACATTAATGCTACACACACCATGTCTCACACGTTCATTTGTAATGATTGTTTGTTTTCAGCCAAGAACACTAAAGAGTGTAAGAAAGTTGAAAACCCCTCCAAACAAACTAAACCAAAACAAATAAAACTTTATAGAAATGATCCAGAATAGTTTTTACTTGTTCAGATGACTTGTGTGAGCAAACGTTGCACCCTTGAAGAACAACAAAAAAAAAATCACATAGATTTTCACTTTTGTGTAACTTTATTAAACAAAACCCACGGCTCGAGCGTACAGTGTGTGTAGTTCTCTGCCATCACCGTACACAACACACAACCACGGGTCATGAACTCTATTCACTTTATGCATTTGCTCTTAAAGAGGCATTATTATGACAGAACTCCATGAAATTTAAAAAATATATAGTTTTAGCACATATTTCAGCATAAGCTAAGTGAATTGTTTTTAACCAAATATCAAATGAAATAACTGACTAATAAAATCAATATACCAATTAATTAAACATCATCACATTCTTACATTTCTTCAGGGTTCTACACAAAGTCACAAAACCTCCTAAGAGTCTGATAAAAGAAGAACTCCCGAAACTGTCAAATGACCTTAACACAATCATTGGGTTAATAATAGTAACAATGTTTAAACTGAACTGATATTTGCATGTCAGTACTAAAATAAAGTTGTGGTCCCCATAGTTGATTTCCCACCAGATGTACACGAGCACTGAGCTTCACGGCGTCTGAAGCAGACTGGGAAAGGTCACACCATCAGCATGGTCCTGGCAATGATTGTGGTATTTTTTTAGTGGGGGGACAGGGGTGTTGCTGGTTGCCCTACATGCCACTGTCAGAGATGGTGGTGGAGGTGGATGCAGAGCTGCATGCCCCTCCACTGGTCACAACTTTGCCAAAAGCAGCTCAGTCTAAAGTCCCATTATCTTCTTCCTTTTCGATAAGCAGCTACGGCGTGCATCTGCTGAAGAGGAGAGATCCAACCAGGACAGGAGGAAAAGCATTATTGTAACTGAATATAAATTTCCTGACTGTGTGCTTTTTATTTGTTGCATTCACCAGTTCAGTGGCTGTGCTCTGGAGGTGTTGTCACGCAGGCGATATGTTCCCCGTGGGCTCCTCAGCATCAGCATCCCTTTGTGCTCCTTGAAGGCAGAGAGCTGTCTCTCTTCAGGCAGCAGCGCCAACAAGCTCAGCAAGGTGTCGCCTCTGTGACTCCTGCCCGCCAAAACAAACACGGTGATTGTTGGTGCCTCATTAGGGATGCAGGGCTGAATGTTGGCAGGCGTTCAGAGGTCCTCACTGTCTCCGGTTAGGAACAAATTCACCTTTACAGTGTGCACTAATGCAGCGCGTCATAGCTGGAAAATAACTTCTTTTTGTTCATGATTTCATTCATTTTACTTTGAAACTGGTACATAACTGATACATACTGCAGGTTGTCGTTGTCTTTCTCCATATGTTTCATTCAGCAACAGTGAGTGTTCGCCAAGGCAGCTCTGTGATTTGTGTTGTGTTAATTAACTGGAACCTTTTTCTTTTTCCCACTCATTGATGTTCGGAAATGTGTTTAAATGTGAGAAGCTGTTCAAGAAGAGACACAATGTTGAAAGAACAAAAACAGAAAATTTAAATGAAAAGAGTGTTTTATGAAAATTGTAGCTCCCGTTTGTAATTTTTCATTTGTATGCATATTTAACAAGAGCAGACAAAGCAATCACCGTCACACTGCGGAGACAAACAGAGATGAAGTGAAGTTCTTTGTTCAGGAGTACAATGCAGGGAACCTGGTTTTATTTTGTGTGGGAAGATATCTCATTTAACAAAGATATTAACCATTTTCACCTTGTCTGCTGCTGAATAACTGTCAAAATGTAGTCGACAGTTTAAATATTTTTCATTAGAAAGCCTGTTTCTGGGAACAATAGCTTTATTTTAACAGAAGAATGCCGAAATACATCTCTTCCTATTTAATAATATTACTCCAAAATGATAAAATAAAATGCATCAAAGTCACGAGTGGCAAACTATACAGACAATCATCAAGACAAACATCTGCTGCACAAATTGGTTTATCTAAAAAAATTAAAATGTAAAGAAAAAGTTTAATTTGTTTTTGTCACTCATTTCAGAAAGTTAAACTCAAGTATTACAGATTCATTAAACATATAGTGAAATGTTTCAAATCTTTATTTCTTGTTATTTTGATGATTATGTCTTACAGATAATGAAAACTAAAACTGTGTCTCAGTAAATGAGAATCTTCCACAGCCAGATGTTGGTAGCTTTGTCAGTGTGGGCAGGAGATGAGTTCTGCTGGAAAATGAAACCAGCATCTCCATGAAGCTCGTCAGCAGAAAGAAGCATGAAGTTTCTAAAATGTCCTGCTAGATGCTGCGAGGACTGGACTTCAGAAAACACAGTGGACCAGAACCAGCAGAGGACATGGACCCAAACCAGCACTGACTGTGGAAACTTCACTCTGGACTTCAACAACATGGATCCTGGACCTCTCCTCTTCCTCCAGACTCTGGGACCTGGATTTATAAATTACATGAACATTTACTTTAACCTGAAAAGAGGACGTTGGACCACTGAGAGACAGTCCAGTTCTTTGTCTCCTCAGCAGGTAAGACACTTCTGATGTCAGGAGTGGTTCGACTCGAGGAATGAGACATTTGTAGCTCGTGTCTGGAGATAATCAGCTGATCAGGATGAGACACCAGGATTTTACAATATTGAACCTCTTCACAATATTCTCATTTGCTGAGAGACTAACATTTGTTTTTTTCATTATCTGTAAGAAATAATCATAAAAATTAGAAGAAATAAAGGCTTGGAGAATTTCACCTTGTGTGTAATGAATCTATATAATATGAGTCTCACTTTTCTTTTCTTTTTTTGACAAATTAAACTTTTTCACAGTATTTAATTTTTGGGATGCTCCTGTACATGGACTCACTCGTACAGTTTTTAAGACTGCAGCAGTCCACTTTACTGAAACTGCCTGGATGCAGTGAAACAGCAAATGCAGCTTTATAAGCCTAAATTGGTTCCTCAATTGCAGCAATTTTAGAAAAACAATAAATTTGTTTAAAGAAAAAGTCTGCTGCACAGCTCATTTTGGGCTAATTTAACTCCTGAGAGTCAATCAAGCAGCAAAAGACTTTTCTGTCTTGATTAGACTGCTCTGTTCTTTTTGCAAATGTTCTTTCTTCTTCTTTATAGACAGTTTGTTAGAGAATCAGGCACTTCAGAGCAAGATAACACAACAACAAAAACAATAATTTTGCTTTGATTCAAATGCAATAAAATCTGCTTTTAAATGCAACAAAAATCCCAAAATGGGCCATAAAGATTTTGTTTCACTGGCTACACATAAAGGGAAAGCTTGAGCAGAATCACTTCATGTAATAAAACTGGGGTTATAATTACAAAATAACTCATTTGTTGTGTCCAGATGGCTCTTTTAAATTGTTTACCCTAAATTTTACATTAAAATCAAACCATTCAAAGTGTTTGTTGCAATTTGCTCACAGAGTATCTGATTTATGCCTCTTTTTTATCTTGTGCTCTCAGTACACCTGGAATACTGGATTTTGTACTATTTTCAATCAGTCACAGTTTACCATATTTTCCGGCCTATAAGTCACACCAGAGTACAAGTCGCATCAGTACAAAAATGTCTAATAATTTGAAAAATCCATAAATACGTCGCTCTGCTGTATAAATCACATCTATTATGCGTCACCGCTGATGTGTCACGTTTGTTACGTGTCACCGCTGACAATCCGGAAACGTGTGCCAAAAATCGATTGGCTGCCAAAGGCTGCCGCAGGAGTGTGCACGGGAGGACTTTAACAAGAATTTAGCAAGATTAATACTTAAAAATAATTATTTGTTTGTTTGAAATTATAGTAAAGGTGTGTCTCAGTTGAACTTTTACTTAATAAATGCACTTTAAAGGTCAAATTAGCTGCATTTCACCGGGGCGGCGCAGTGAAGCTGATTTGACGGTTGCTCCAGGCAGAAGAAGGTGGCAGGCAATGGCAAGCCAATTGTGTCATTAATAAATACTTTCACCTATTACATGGCACAACAGCATGCCATACTACTTGAGTGCCATCTAGCTGCTGAAAATGGTAGTGTTCAATATTTTCAATATCAGAATGAATGGAAACGGTCATATCTCAGCCAAAAATTGGTTTTAAATATGGGAAAAATCCATTATTAAGTCACTTCATCAAACAAGTCGCAGGGTATGCAAATTATGCAAAAAAGGTGTGATTTATAGGTTGGAAAATACGGTAGTTTAATAGATTTTCTACTTGTCTCAAAGTCGTCTCACATTGCTCACTCTTTCTGACTCTCAGAAACTAAACCGAGAAAGGTGTGAGACACGTTGCAACAACTGTGTGGCTATTTTCAGAAAGCACAAGAGCGAGGGCCTGTGACTTGCAAAGAAAACGAGGAACCATCACCAACATTTCAACACATTTTAGAAACTTCTTGTGAATGCTGTTCACAATTTAACTGTCACAGCCCAGCAAGATACTGGCCGAACGCCATGACACTTGCAATTGTTCATAACCCATTTTTGAATGAAAGTTTGCTTCAATAACGTTCTTGTGTAACAGTGGTTGTTTTATGGGTTCAGACCTTTGAGATTTGAGTAGAGATGGAGACAATCAAAGAACTATATGTTGTTCAGCAGTTTATTTTCCAAAATCTTTAGCTCTTTATCCATATTATCTTGATATTTTTAGCTGTAATATTTAGAATGGGCAGGAGTAAAAAAAAAACATTGTGCTAATCTAATCCCAGATTTATCATAGTCCATAAGCTTCCACATTTTAAGCAAAAAAAAAGCATTTCACAGTTTATCTCCAAACAGGATTACACAATGTCATACCATAATCCTGCAGTACCGCTCCCATCTTTTCCTGAGCCAATTCAAGAACTCCAAGCTCATCCATCTGGCATCTCCAATGCCACGCTTCTCCTCTATCTGAGGCACTGTATGAAATGAAACAGACAGCTGGTCGTGTGTTTATCTCAGTACCATCCCTATAACTGCCTTTCAGATCGGAACCAGTTTTATAAAGTCATACACGTCAGGGATAACTCAATGATGGCACAACGACTATTCAATTAGCAGCTCTGTTTTATTCCCCCCAGTTTGCTCTGCTGTGAACACACTGCAGAGTTTTTAATGAATGTGAACACTGAGGACTCCCAGGTGACCTGCTGGTGCTGTGGAGTGATAATGAATAGGGCGAGCGCTTGGAGGAGCCTGTCCAAGCTGCAGCTTTAGCCATTACTCATTCACTGCGGCGGGAGACGACTGCTTGATGTTGACTCAGTCCAGAACGAGGATGTTGACTCTTTGAACTTGGAGATGAGAGGCGAGCCCACCCCTGTGTGGGACTCAGGGAACACCACCGTTTGGGAGGAGTACCTTGACGTTGTCCTTGTAGCGGCAAACTGCTTGGTCCTGTTGATCACTTCTGTCGTGGGGGTTGCGGCCAACACTTTTGTCATCCTGGCAGTGTGTCACCAAAAGTCACTGCAAACTTCTGTCAACGCTCTGGTGGTGAATCTTGCTGTTGTGGACTTCCTGCGTTGTGTAATTGACTGTCCTGTTCTGCTGAACATCATCACAACGGTCCATGAAAGAGGACGAGTGCACAGTTTGGTGTGTGACACACAAATGGCCTCTTTCTCTTTCAGCTGCTGCGTCCAGTTGTCGACGTTGGCGTGCATAAGTGTAGAGAGGTACCAGGCTATTGCCAAACCCTTTGAAACCAAACAACGTAAGAAACGAGTCAGGACATTGATTCCTCTCACGTGGACCTTAGCCATTCTGCTGGCAGCTTTTTGTCAGATTTTTCTGAGAGACTCACCTGTGTACGTAAGATGCCAAGGATGGCCAAGAGGAACATCCCTTTCCTATGACACCAATGGACTTTACGTGCTGCTCCCGCTGTGGGCAGCTTGTTTCAGTCTCATCACTGGATTCTACATGCGCATTTTTGCTTTGGTAAGATCTCACAACCGCAAAATATTTGACAAAGGTATTTCTGCTCCCAACAAGGACTTGGCGGAAGATAAGCAAAACAGAGGAAGCACTGTGGTGGAAAATTGCCACGGTAAATCTGAGCCGGAGGAGATTTTAAGTGTTGCTCTAACACAGCCGGAGTCAAATCAATTCAAGAAAAAATCCCCACTGACCTCAGGAGAAGCTCCACAGGGTGAATCTATCAGTTCTGAGGGGAAAACAGAATTTAAAACTACAGCAGAGACGAGTCACTTAGAGCGACCCCACCCTCTTGCAGGGCAAGTTGAGTTGAAACCATTAAAACTGGAGAGCTGCAGCCCCATTTCCATGAAAACGGAAACAGATCCATCAGATCAAGACCCCGCTGCAAACATTCAGAGCTCAAACACGGCGACGCAAAATGCGTCAACCAATTTTATCACTGAGAATCTGTGTGGAGAAAGTCTGAAAACTGACATGGCATCCAAAGAGACCAGCCTGCATGTTGCAACACCTGAACAAAGACAGGATCCTGAAGCTGCTTCTTTCCCAATGACTGATCTGAAACAGGTAAATAACAGCAATGGAGAAGCAGCACCGGCAGCTCCTCCAGTAGATCAAACGCTGTCTCCACCCCCAGATCCAAATAATGACGCTATAAAGTTGGAAGGCGCTGTTTGCGTTATGCCTTCAAAAGCAAACAAAGAAAGAGTGAGGAAAAGAAAAGAAAGTACAATGGCCAAGCGTGCTGGATACATAATCATAACCTTCTTGTTGTTCTGGCTTCCTCTGCTCACGAGCATCCTGGGTAACTTTGTGGTCCACAAAAACAGGACTCCACAGGTAAGTAAGTATTTATTATGTCAGCATGAAAACCTGAGCATGACTTGATCATTGTCACATACTGAGAATATTTTATCTTCACAGAAGCTGATCTTTCAAGACCTGGACATCCTGTCAGTGTCTGTGACCTGCGTCACTTCACTGAGTGACCCCATCATATACGCTGCAGTCAACCCTCAGTTTCGCTCCGAGTTCTACAAGCTGAAGAGTTGGGTTAAATCAAGATTCACAAAGACTTAAGAACATCTTCATCACATTCATACACCTCGTAATTGATGTGATGAACGTCATGTGACAAAATACCTCATTAAACACCAATACTGACACATCTGCTTGTCAAAGAGTGGATTTTTTATTTCGTTATGGGGGTGGGGGGGGGTCTTTTGTTTGCTGCGCTGCCTTAGATTTCATGTAGTCTGGCTCCTCAGCAGTCGCTAAACACTGCTGAGTGGAGGTGACGCTTGCTGCGAGGAGCGGCTTGGACCAACACAATCAGCTCAGCGGGGGGGATGCAGCGGCGCTCACTGTCAAACAATTACTCTGGGCGCCAGCTTGTGTGTCTACAGAGACCCTGCTGCCAGGACCCACTGCTGGGCCGGTCAGGCCCCCACATGTTTTCCTACTTACACCTCTTCATTATCCTTACTCCCTAAAAGAAATCCTCTCGGAGTCAGGAAAAACATGATTAAATCCTTATAATTATATTATAGTTTAAAAAAAAGACACAGGCAGTTTATGGATGCTTCAGAAGAGCTTCTGCGTTTATTCTTTCCACTGCACCAAATGCACATTCTGTTTATTACTACCTGTTTCCTTACCCTTAAAGGGATAGTTCACACATTCTGAAGTGGGTTTCTGTGGAAAAGTTATGAACAGTTATTATATTACTTATTGTAATTTGTTCTTTGGACAAACTCAAGACATAAACACAGGAAATACAGTGGCTCGGTGTATCAGTTAATGCCACTACAACATAGAATGTGTCAAACTGAAGTGCACTAAAACACTTTAAAATATTATATTTTTTGTTGTTGTTTATCACCAAAACAACTAATCTCATAGGCAGTGGATAGCCAGACAATATCGCTTTTGGCTTTGCCTTCATAATGATGTTTTTTTTTTTGGGGACGGATATCTTTGGCTATTTCCTCATTCACTTTTAAACTTTTGGCATGAAATTGTGCTATATCTAGATGAGAGAAGATGAACTGTCAGTGAAAGCAGAAGAGCTTACAGTAATCTGGCTGTCCAAGCAGGACACGCGTGTGCATCATTTTTATTTTTATCTTTTCAGGAGCGGCATCACTCGAAAGTTGAACAGTGTCGAGATATATTGCCGGACGCTGCAGAGCAATCGGCGACCAGCTGTTGACAGTGTGGGGGTCAAACCTGAAAATTATGGAGGCGTAGCTAACAGCTAGTCTGAATGGGGCCAAGATATGTGAAGGACTGCTGTTTTGAAATTTCTTGTCTTACAAATTTTTAAAAAGTTCATGCATACGTTATCTAATGAACTTTTTACTCAGTTATTCTGCCAGAAATATATTGATATTCTTGAAGGCTGTAGTGGAAGTTCTACAGTAGATACCGCTGCTGTTAGGTGTGCTTACAAATAACCACAATTCTTTGTAAATGGCTGTAATGCAACAGTGACGTTGATGTAAAGGTGTTTAAACGGCATTTGCACGAACTGTTGACTGGACTTTTAGGAGAGCAGCAATCAACTTTGGTCTCCGCCACAGCTATTAGCTCATCAAAATCAAACTATTTCTCTAAAATGAGGCTGTTTGATTATCTTCAACAGATAAGATATTTATTGTTCATAACATCTCCACAGAACCCCACTTAAAAAAATACGAACTATTGCTTGAAATAAGCAGTCCATGACAAGATTTCATTAAAAATAGAGTTTCAAGGTTCAACTCAGAGCACATTTCATGTTTCCTTTCTCTGATCATATTTTTTACTGACAAACCTCCAACAATGAGCAGACATACTTTAATTAAAAACAAAATTCTGCAATGACAGCATGCAAATCATTAATTCAACCAGTTAACAGACAGAAAGAGTTTCGCCGACAACTAAATCTAGAAGTAAGAGGAGCCAACTTCGAATGCATTTGATAAAGTCCTAACTGAGATATTTACAGTATGAAAAATATACAAAATGGTGCTTTAACACAATGAAGTCTTGCTTCTGAACCATCGATTGTAAGGAAGCCACTGGAGTTCTTGCGTAACGTTTTCCGGATCAGTGCTACCGAATGCGTCCACATCAAGTTTATTATTAGTTGCCGAGAACATCCACTTATTCACTTGTGCCCTAACTAAAGTATACCCTGTATAGTTATCAATAACAATTGTTAACTAACGACAGCGGCTTTCACACAGATCCAAAATGTCAAATATGTATGCTAACACAGATTTGGTCGTTTGACTTTCACTTGCACATTTCACAAACATGTCAGGGTGAGTAGTGTGCGTTTTGTTCACCGAGCAGTGACATCGACCAGTTCATGAGTCAGTAAATGAATATTCACAACGGTGTGGCCCATCCCCTGGATGTAAGTTTTTTGACTTTACAACAGTGAGAGGAGGAGGGAAGATAAAGCGTTTAATTTAGGAGTTTCAAAAAAATCTTTTTAAGCGGTTGGTGAGGTGAGTGTGTAGTCAGGCTGATTTATTATTCACAAAGATGGCCTTCAGACGATGGAAACATGTGCTTTGTTATCAGAGGCCATCGGGAATGCTCTCTAAACACCTGCCTTTTCAACCTTTCAGTCAGAGACAACAAATACAACTGCATAACATATTCAAAAATAAAGTTTTTTTTTTCATATTTTAGGCAACAGCGATGACCATGAATTCCCAACGTCTCCTCGTTTGGCTGTGCTTAACAGAGCAGGATCTGCTGGTTCACGTCTACGTCCAGGGCAGCTGTCCACATCGCTTTTAATACCATGCAGAGTTTGACATCAGATGAAATTTTCTACTTCAGAAAAAAAAAAAATCCAACCTCTGTTAATCTTATAATCCGTCTTGATTATGGCAGGTTGATGCTCGGTGGTCCCTCTCCTCAGCATCTGGTGCTTCTTGAGACAAGTTAGCTGATCAGATCAGATATAGATGTGACATCTACAAGGCAGATACTCGGACAATGTTGCTCTGAGAGTACGCTGTGGTGGTGGTGGAGGCGTCCTCGTCCGCTGAGGTCACCACCGGGGCAGACAGGCTGACCATGGACGGGCTGATGTAGGGTTCGTCACATTTCAAGGGCATAGTCTCATCGAGTTTGGCATTCAGGCTGGAACGGCTGTGAAGGGAGAGCAGGATGAGAGAGGAGGGAGAGGGATGACCTTGTAAACACATCACACACAAAGCTCATGTTTCTGCAGAGTTCTGTCAGAACACGGAGATGCTAACTTTTATTCTTCTAAGAAATAATCCTGGAAGACCTTTTCTTTCTTTATCAGTCTATAAAAGATAATAAACATACAAAATACAAGATGTTTTAATAGAGCTCTGATTACACCGATGTGCTTCATCCTGTGAAGTCTCTGTGTTACGTCTAACTAGGTTTCACACATGCATGAAACGTGTGAAACTATTGAATCAGTGTTGTTTTAGCTACTGTGTTTTCTACCAGCCTTACGTAAACTAATTAATTGCATTAAAAGTGTTTTTTATTTGTTTTATTTTTATCTTTATTTAACCAGGCAAATCCCATTGAGATCACACATCTATTATGCAAATGAGGCCTGAGACTGAAGGCAGCGTACGAGTACATTGATTAAACAGAACGAATGATTTAAACACAAAAAAAGACATTTGTGTCCCTCAGGTGTGTTAAGAGTAAGACACCACATCAACTGCGAAAACTAAGAATTTTATTTAAAAAAATTATACTCTTAGGATTTTATTTAATGTAGTATTAATAAGAGGGACGAGATGGTGTAGAGGTAGGGCAGACGTCTTGGGACCAACTCCCTGTCATGTCCACATGTTGTGCAAGACACCCAATCCCTAACTGCTCCCTGGGTGCCTACATAGCTGTCCACTGCTCCACCTGGGTGTATCTCAGGTGTGATGAGTTAATGCAGAGAACTAATTTTGTCATTGAAAGGAAACAAGACTCCCCTTATTGATGGATAATAAATTGTTTATAGATGTTTTATTAATTCCTCTATAAACACTTTATAAATCATTAATAACTGCTTATTATGCATTAATTAAGGGTGACTGAGACAAAACTGACCAGTTTGTTGCCAAAATAGTGAGTCAAATCTGTTCACCTATATATTTCATCTAGAGTTGTTATATTTAACATTTCAGACTAAGTTACTACCTTGTAAACACAATAAGCGTTTGTAAACCTATTTTTTTAGGATATAATATTAGTTGTAGATACATATAATGTAGTGATAACGTACAATATTATATGCTAAAGAAATTAATTTACAAATGCTTATTGTGTTCACAAGGTAGTAACTTAGTCTGAAATGTTTAATATAACAACTCTAGATTAAATATATAGGTGAACAGATCTGGCTCACTATTTGGCAACAAACTGGTCAGTTTTGTCTCTGTCACCCTTAATTAATGCATAATAAGCAGTTATTAATGATTTATAAAGTGTTTATAGAGGAATCAATAATGTATATTTAAACTATTTATTAGCATCTATAAGGGGAGCTTTACTGTACCAAAACATACAACGATAACAACAGGACTTTTAATAATAATATTAATTATGATGATAATGGTTTTGTCTGTGTCAGTTAATAAAGTATCCCATAACAGCTGGACAGATTTTAATGAAAAACTCATAAAGTCAAAGTGGAGCTAAAACTGATTAACATCTGAACTTGGCACAATCCAAGATGGCAGCTGCAGCTACGCAAACTTAGCAAACATAGAAATGGCTCCAAGTCAATCAATGTCACAGATCCTGAGCTTAAATGAGGTGCAGTAGATGAACGTAACCCACAACATACAGTGTCTTGTGACAACAAAGAAATGGTGTTGGACGTCTGTTTAAAATGTAGACATACACTTTTGGAGTCAACGCTTTCTGTTAATAAGCAAAATATCCCAAAAATCACTGCGTCGATTTGATTAAATCCTTTAAAAGTAGTCAGTGAGTGCACATCTACATTTGATTAACGTCAGGTCATCCACATCAGCCAACTCACATTATACAAAACAGACTAGAATATAGTCATTTATTTAACTATACTTTGCTAAATTGTGTAGTGGTAACGGCTCACACAATGTTAACATGGAGCTTTGAGCAAAGTGGCTAAAACTTATTTCTCATCATGAGAATATTTTAAACGTGATTAATATTCTTTCAAGGAAAGTTGGGCTTTTAATTTGTTTATTTATAGTCTTCATTTGTCGAAGACATCATTTTTGCACCATTACATCAGATGTAGGGTTTCTAAGCAGAGGCTAATTAGCAGTCTTTGTACTTGTTGGGGCTTTTAGGAAAGCTTCTGATACAAACAGGCTCATCTAAGACTAACTTTAATTCCATCATGTTTCAAGGAAATTAACAATGTGCATGTTTTCCTCCATGTTGCATCAGCTTCTTTAACACTCTGTAACTGGCTGGGAACTACAAGAACCAAAGATTTGGACTGCTCAGTGTTTTGTTTCAGTTTTTATGTGTCCCAGGTCTGGACTACATGCAGGTCTTTGTTCCTGGCACAAAGCCATAAAGTTTAGAAACAAAAGATGAAAAATAAAAAAAAAGGACTTTTATTTATGGATGGTCATGTTGCTCCAAACTTTGAATGTTGTGCATAAATGTTTTATTCCTTTGTATTGTAAAATGTGGAAGTTGCGTTTGTAAGTGCAGCAAAGAAAAGTGTTTACAAAGAGCACGTCTCCAAAGAGTTCCTGAGCTGCTGCAGTGATTTCCACTACAAACAGCAGAACGGCCCCAGGGCCTGCAGATCAACGCTGCTCCTTGTGCTCAGACGTGACTAGAAATTCTCCAAATCCGTAACTGATTTCATGACATATGGCAAAATCACCAAACGTTTTCAGCGTCTATTCTGAGATTTTACCTTAAACCAACCAAAAGACAGGAACAAGTATCTGTTTAAACATATTTTAAATCAAGCATTATAATGATTTGTAAATCACTGCTTCCTGTTATTATCACCCTCGGACGAAGACGAAGGCAGAGAGATAATGTTTTTACTCATGTCTCTGTGTGTTTGTTTGTCTTTAACTTAAAATACCTCATCCAAACAAATATTAATAAAACTCTTAGAAGGAAGTCACTGCACAAATCTTATTTTATATCACTTTATAATGTAGCTGTTTTTAACATAATTTTCTACCATTTATTTATTTTTTGCCAATTTATATGCCTTCTTTTAAGGTTGTCCACTGTTGTCGTCACTCTTAGTTTAAATCAGGTCTCTCTTGTAAATGAGTCCTTGAGGCTCAATGAGACTAACCTGTAGAAATAAAGGTTGAATGAAAAACCTACAAGTGATTACCATTTGAAATGAACCTCTTTCAAGATGGCCGCCACAACAAAGAAATATTTAAAAGCACAAATATGTCTATAAAACAGGAATCTTAAGGAAAAAAAGTGGATAGTAAGTAGCTGAGCGTTATCCACAACATATACTAGGAGCTCTAACTGATCACAGATCTGCTTTAAAAATTGTTTTTGGAATCAACTGTTTGTTGGAAAAATATCTCATGAAGGTTTAATTCAAACAAGATGGCCGCCACAGCCAACTGAAGACACGCAAGTGCTATAACCAGTTCCTCATATATTGAGCTATAATTTAAAGTATCATCGTTCCACACTTGCACAATTAAAACCTTGGCAATAACTGATGAAGACAAACCTGTCTGTTAGCAAAATATTTTGTGATCCACTGGACGGATTGCAATGATACTCAAAACGTAATTATCGGATACAGTACCTTTACAACTGATGTTTTTCATTCATTCACCTGTTTCAACCTTTAGGTTAGTCTCATTGTGTCATGAGGACTCATTTACAAGAGACACCTGTAACTTTTACTTTTTACTGTAACTTTTTACTTTTACATTTACTTCAAGATGTTGGTTGACCAGCTCAACCTTAAACTAAACACAAGTGGAAACAACTCTAAAAACTTAAATAAACTAGAATTTGATGTGGTAGTATGGTGATTTGTTTTAACTCGGGAGTATCAAGTTCAAACAACAAGTAGTAATTAATTAGACAACTGGTATAAATTAACTGCGTGAGTTCTTACAGCATAAAATTCTAAGTTTCCTGGACAAGAGTAATCCGTTTTTTGGAAGGAATAAAGTTCTGTGGTGAGTCATTTCAACTCATCGTATCAAGTTGAAACAATAAATTAACATCAGTTGGGCAACTTTTATAACTTACTTTTATAAGTTGAAAAAAGCTTCTTCTTAAGTTGAGTTCACTTATGTTTATAAGGCAGCTTAAAACTACTACTTAACATTTTAAGTTAAACCACCCTAATAATTTTTACAGTGTAGCTGATAGTTAATCACAACTCATACTTCAAAAGTTACAGGACACATGAAGTACCCTTAACAAAAAGTAGTACATTTGAAGTTTATTTTTGCAAGTATACTTTAAGTTAAGTATAAGTATATCAAGTATACTACACACCATACTTGTAGTGTAGAAAGTATACTGATTTAATACTTGTTTGGACTAAATTGGGAAATTTTTATACTATTTTTAAGTACATCAAATAGAGTTTATAAAAAGTACACTTCAAGTACACTTCCTCATTTTTAGTGTAAAATAAGTATACTTGTAGTATAAACTACTTTTTGCTAAGGGTAAAATAGATATGACTGTGTTTTCTTCATAAAAAGATGATGTCAGACTAAAACCAATGGTGTAGTCTACATGATACATGGGTATACACAGTATACCCACTACAAAAAGTAGACTAGACCACTTTCTAAAACTGGCCTGAAAAATGGCGGGCAACAAGCATTCCTTCCCAGACTGCTGTGCCCGTCACCATTCTCTCAGGGCTCTGTACCTGTTGGACACCGGCCTTTCTCTGATCTGGATGGTGCTGAGCTCCTGGTTGTTGGTGCTCGGCGGGCTGAAGCTGCTCTTCTTCTTGTGCCGTCGGGAGCAGCACGAGCCGAGGCCGTGCGGAGACGAAGACATCGAGGAGGAGCGAGAGCCCGACTTGTTCACCACGGAGACCTCCATGCAGTTGGTCTGAAACGTCTGCTCGTCCACGAACTCGTGGTTCTGCGGAGGAACGTGACAACTTGGATTCAGCCGTGCTCGTTGGGCTTAATCAACTCCGTTAAACTGTGATGCTTCACAGAGACGGATTGAACAGACCGAACAGAAAATGGTTTGATAAATGAAAACTGAATTATCAAGGGGATTAGAACTATATTGGCCCAGATGTCCATATTAAGAGCCATCTGTGAAAACGCAAGCGTTATCTCTGATAAATGAACATGACTGGAAGGTCAGCTTTGAAATATGTTGCCCGTCCCTCCAGCAGGTGGCAGAGAGACGCCATGAAGGCTCTTATGGGTATCCTGACTCGCATCTCTGTTCTCCCACCTCCCCTCCTGCAGCCCTGCTCATGTCTCTGTTATCTATAATGTACACCACGAGCACCTCGTGTAAACATTTGCACAGCCATCTGATGGTATGCAAGCTTTTTATATCTTCCTTTGAAGTATTTTTTTTTCTTTTTCCAAACAAACTGCAAGTCTTTAATCAGTAAAAATCATTCACGAGGAGCCAGATTGATGCTCTCATGTCTTTGCACAGCGCTTAAAGCTGCAAGTGTAAAATTATGTCACGAGCATTAAAGCGGATCTTACACCTCTAAATTATAGATAGTGGAGCACGAAGCATGCTCGTTTGTTTTGAAGGAAAAACTGGCAGGCAGATTTGTGTTATCTTGCCATGGTGCTAAAAAAAGGAACTCAACATTCCCCAGCCCCAATTTGCAGCTATTTTTAACTGGTGCTGCATATAAAATAGATCGTACAGTTTGAGAGTGGAAGACAAAAAAAATCACTTTGTTTCTATTTTTAACGTACTGTAACAGGTTGGCACCACTGAAGATGAAGCGCAGACTGTTAGAGTGATGCAATGGTATAAAAAGAGGAATGTGTTGTCTGCAGAGAGCTATTTTAAACTGCGAAACGTCTGTTAGATCACCCAGTTCTGAAAAAGAGGTGCAGAGTAAAATGTAAATAAAAACCTAATGCAAAGATTTGTAGAGCTCTAAACATGTATTCCCCACAATGGAACACAGCAAACATGCTTAAACTAAGAAACTGTAATAATAAAATAAAGGTCATTTTTTTATTTTTGAGGCAACAACACATCTAAAAAACGAGACACAAAAGGGCTGTGTAACGGTGTGAATAGGGAACAGCTGGAGGAGCATTTTGCAACTAATTAGGTTAATTGGCAACAGGTCAGCACGAGGACTGGGTGTAAAAAGAGCATTTTAAAGAGGCTGAATCTGTTAGAAGTAACGAGGGGCAGACGTTCACCTGTCAGCAAACAATCTGTCTAAAAGCAGTGGAACAATTTCAAAGGAAAATTGTGAACACTGTGATTATCCCATGATCGAAAATTCACAATATTATCAAAACATTTTAAGAATCTGGAAAAAATCCTGAGAACGAAGTGCCAGAAATGGATTTTGAACGTGTGTAATCTGAACCCTCAGGTGGCGCTGCGTTAAAAAAACATCTGTTCCTGTTCTGGGCATCACTGCATGCGCTCAGAAACACTTCTACAAAGCATTTTCTGTAAACAGTTCATTGTGCGATACACAAATTCAAGCTCTATCATGCAAAGAAGTAGCCATGTGTGAACATCATCCAGACTCTGCACCACATTCTCTGGGTCAAACCTCATTTAAAAGAAATGAAGCACAGGGGGAAGAGATGTTTTGTGGTCAGAAGAATCAAAATTTGAAATTATTATGGAAACCACCACATCCTCCAGATTAAAATGGAGAGGGATCATCCGTCCTATTCTCAGTACACAGTTCAAAAACCTGACTCTCTGATGATATTGGGGTGCATTAGTGCCTGCTCAGCTCACAAATCTGGAAGGCAGCATTAATACAAAAAAGTATAAACGGGTTTTAGGACAACATATCCTCCTGTCCAGCAAAAGATCCATGAAAGATGTCTGACATCATTCTCCTCCAAATCCTCTGACAGCTGCTCTCCTCAGACCATCACAGACTGTTGTTAAAAGGAGATTCTTCACAGCCCCGTCTCAACTGTTCTGAGACGTGTTGCTGCCACAAAATTACTCCCCCCACACTCACACAGTTGATATAACTATGTTCTATTGTGAATAAAAAATAGGTTTCTGCTGGAGGTTTCTGTTAAAAGAGAGTTTTTCCTTTCCACTGTCTCCTTTGTGCTTGCTCAGTTTGGGAGACTGATGAACTGAAAACTCAGCACAATCTGCTGCTTCCTTAGATTGATAACTTTTACTGGTTGTCTTTGTATGCATGTGAATGTTTCTGTACAGATAACTTCTGTTGTGACTTGGTGCTATATAAATAAACTGTATTGAAATGAACTGTAAATAGCTGTCAAATAAAAAATAAAAAGTATTTTACCGTGGTTTTCTCCAAGCAGTGCAACAAATGATGGTGTTGGCTCTCAAAAGGAGGGGTCGCAGTCTTCAACACCAGGGCTTGTCCTGCTTCCTTAGAGGCCTTGAACGACACAAAGTTAAAACAGACAAAGACAAGAAAAGAAGAAAGAAGCTGCAGTGTAGATGAGCAGGCTCAGACTCTGAACAGAAACGGTCTCAGGCAACTTTAGCAGCTCGGTGATGTGGTGGAGAGTAGGCAAAGCACTGAGTCAAAATGCTGATCTGTAGCATGGCAGCCAATCTACTGAAACTAATGAGGCGGAGACATTTTAGAGATGCATGAAAACTTGGGCTGACTACAACAGGTTTGACTGACAGAAGTGGTTTAAAAGGACGACAAGATTCAAATTCAAGGTAAAGCATTAACTCAGGTCTTTTGAAGACGAGTTCTGTGGAAAGGCTATGAACAGTTAATATCTTACCTGTTCCGAGTTGCTCTTTAAACGATCTCGGATTTGACACATAGAGTTCAGTTTTGACTTATGAGCCAACGCCTAGTCTAAGCCAGGGCCAACACCTTAAAGAAAATAAGTCAGACACCCAAACTTTCATAAACGTTCATGCTATCACAATTTTATAAACCCCTAACAGTGCCATCACTTTTGCATTACATGGTTATTTAAGCAGAAATATTACAATATTCCTGTCTGAAGTGTCCCGGGCTGCACCGACAGTGACACAGCTGGCTGCTGCTGCAGCTTTTTGCACTCTCAATACTAAAGGATTCTATGTCCCGAAAAATCAAAGATCTTGAGTTCCTTGAAGGAATTCAAAACAACCTTCTATCATTTTTGTCAGAGTGTTGAACTAAGATTGAGAAATGACAAAGTTGAGTTGTTTTAGTCAAATTTTGAAATTAATATTGAGCAAAAACCCACAGGTGATCACATCGTTTGTTATTGAATGGAGCATGAGTTGGAGATGACTCTCAGCTACTACCATGGCACATTTTGGCTCAATAGCCGTAAAGTTGACTGAGTTATAGTTTTCAGATGGCAGCTATATACACTTGCTACACTCTGACTAGCCATCAGCTCAATAATCTGGTCAGAATCGAACTCATTCTCCAAACTGTGTTCAAAAAGCTATGTGCAGCAGGTAAGATATTATTGGTTCATAACCTTTCCACAAAACCACACATTTGAGAGCAACAGCAGTGGCACACCTGGACACAGATCAAACAGATTCCACCAAATAAAAGACACATTTCAAACTAAAAACACACCTCACACACACAAACACACACACACATGATGAATTTCTGCATGGCACTCTGATGGGAAGCATGTTGCATTAGTCTGCACTAAAATCTATATACTCTTGAAATCACACACACACACACACACACACACACGCACACACTGATAAAGAGTGACAAATCAAACACAGAGTTTAGAGGAGATGCAGGCGGAGCACACAGCTTCTATGGGCTACCTAATCTCCACTAAGCCTTTGGTTCCCCCCTTCCCCTCCAAACCCTGTAGGACAGACATGCAGAGCTCGGTCATGAGTCAGTGGGACTGAAATGACTGTGTGTGCCCCCCCAGTCCTCCTGCTGCATGGACAGAAAGAGAGTGTGTGTATGTTGACCAAGCATGTCAATGCTGCAGCTGAAAGGTGTGATGTGAGAGAGAGAGAGAGAGAGAGAGAGAGAGAGAGAGAGAGAGAGAGAGCGAGGACGACCACACGGAAGCACTAGATGACAGCGGCCCCTGCGATACTGTATGAGAAGGCCCCACTTTACATGTGTGTGGTTGCATGGCCCCCCCACCCCAACCCCTCCGTTCAGAGCAAAGCAGGCATGCAGGCGAGGTACAGGTCAGTCAGCCCCCATGCTGCTGTGTGGCGCCGTTACCTCCTCCAGTGAGTTGATCAGGAGCCCGTTTTGTTTGTAGCGCATATAGGCATTAGTGCCCCGAATCTTTGCAGCACGGATTCTAGCGAGGCGAGTTTTCTGTTTGAACAAACAGACCTCTGTTTTAGCCCCTGACGCTTCGTCTGTCACTCTAATTGGCTCTGTCTTCCTCTCTGGCAGCCTCAGTATTTAACAGAAAAGAAGTTATGCTTCAATGTACTATTAGGAAAATTCTGCCGTAGTAAACACTTTAATGGGAAAAAGGTAAACATTTTTCTACATTAAAGTTGCTGACACAATAATCTGAAGAGCACTGGCTCAGTTTTTGTCACTCCTTCTCCCTCTGAAATATTCTAAAGCAAGTTTAGCCCCATCCGACGCACACACATACACACAAGCTCAACAAAAGATTAATATTCTGGAGGATAGTGTTTGTCCTGTCACTCTGTTTGTGTGGATAAGACAGGGGCAGGGAGAGACAAAAGGGCAGAGAGAAGTAAAATAAAGAGGGGGAATAAAGGAAGAGGGGGGGTCAGTACCCTCTGAGCTCGTCGTTTCTCCGCCCGCTGGCTTTGGTGGTAGATCCGGCTGAAGTTTGACACGATGACAGGGACAGGCAAGGCGATGACCAGCACCCCACTCAGAGAGCATATGGACCCAAACACCTTCCCCACAATCGTCTTTGGCACCATGTCACCGTACCTGAAACACAGAGAGCAGGGGCCATGACCACACTGAGCAGAAAAACAAAAAAAGCCATGAAATAGCTGACATTTGTGGAAGAAACGTATATTTAATTTTAAACTAAGGTCATCTCATGTTGAGAAATGATGGAGTTATAACAGTTTTAATCAAAGTTTTTAAAATACCATGAAGCATGAGCTCACTCAGTTTAGCAAGAGCTCGTGCAATCCATTAGCTCGATTATGTGTTGACAGCAGTGGCAATTTTAGCCTCTTTTAGGCGTGCTCAAGCACCCCTAAAAAATAAAGTTTTCTTTGTGTGTGTATGTGGTTCTGGGTTTTGGGTTCTGTTTATTGCATTTATGATTCAATTCAACAAAATAAACACATTTAAAAGGTAGCAGATCATTGTAATGCTTGGTTTATTTACATATTGACTTTATTTGCTGATGTCTGGCTCCTGAGCTGCTGGTTTTCAGTAACTGTGCCCCCCCTGAGAAGTTTATTTGAATAGTCCTGATTTAGGGGGTGGAATATAATTTATTCCATTTCCAAAACCTAAACTGAGTCTGGGAAAATGTAACAGATGATAAAGCCCTGCGGACGAGCTCATGAGCAGCTGAATACAAGTGATAAACAGGAAGTTCCAACTGCAGGTAAATCCTCCATTTTCTGTCATAATTACATCGCATGCTTAATAGTTAAATTAAAGGTTAAAGCTTTAAGCTAGTTGTGCTTTGTTTTGTGTGTTTTGTATGTAGATATATGTTACAACTTCTGGTTGCACAAGTTTAGTCTTTGCTTGTTATTATCAGTTAACACTAAAACTGATTTTGTACAAAGTGTTTATTAGATTGTTAAATGTAAAGCAAAGCGCTACGTCTGTAGCATCTTAGCTAGCGCGTGTGTATTGCACGCCACTAGCTTAGCGCTACTTCCTCTTGTGCCGAGCTCTTTAAAATAGTTATTGAATCAAGTGCTTACTTATGTAAGTAAACGTAGATGTTTAAAAACCTGTTAAAATTCACCAGAATGCAGGAAATGGCATCTACTTTATTAAAAAATTTCTAAAACATCAGTGTGCCCCCCCCCCCACACAATACAAATGCTTCTGACGCCATTGGCCATGTTGTTCAAGTCAACAGCCATTGTCAGCAGTGGGGGCTAAGCACCCCTAAAGGGCAGATTCTAGAATCGCCCCTGGTTGACAGTAGGTCTGCACAATAGTCACATTAAAATCAACTGTGCCTTTTTTGCGCTGGCTGTGTCTGATTTGCTGTGGTGGCGGTTGAATGGAGCTGACTCCAAACATTAATTAGTTGTAAATGTGCATCCAATGATTATTTTCTGAATTTCATAAGAATCCATCCAGTGATTCATGAGATTTTTTTCTCTAACAGACAGCATTTGCTACAATAGTTCATTATAAACTTTTAAGCAAGGATTGTTTCGAGCTCAGAGTGTGTGTTAGAGTCACGCTCAGCTTTGACCAGAACAAATTTGTTTTCTGTGGTCAGCTGGCTGTGGCGGCCATCTTGAATCAAGTTGATGCCACTCATTTATCAGCTGTAGATGTATGCCCAACACCAACTTAACTTTTTGTCACAAGATATTTTGCTAACACAGAGACACATAAATGCACAAGCACCCCCCCATCATCCATCCATCCATCCATCCATCCATCCATCCATCCATCCATCCATCCATTCATTCATC